CTCCAGTGATAAATACCTTCAAAACTCTCTATTTTCGATTTCTCATAACTTCTTTGATATTCAGTCAAATTCTACAAACTTTTCTGGAAATAGTTTCATGAAGTTTTTTTCTCAAATAGCATTGATAGTTTCTCGGTAAAAAGGCTTTATTTTCCCTGTCTAAAAAAAACTGAGTTATGAAAGTCGTCTATAGTTTACCGCATTAAATGTACTCACTGTCTGCAGAGTGACGCGCAGTATATTAAATTAAAAGCGATATATGTTATTGAAAATCTATTAAATGATACTATTTCTTGCATTATACAGGCAAAGCTAAAAGACCACAGCTTAAGAAATATTGATGTATCATCCTTCACTTGCGAATCTTGTGAGGAGGTTGAATCCAATGCTTTTTGTGATATCTGTAGCATGAGTAAGTTTAATATTTGATACTGTACTGCAAGCAGGGTTATTTACGTTCCAGTCCCCAACAACTTCTACTGTCGACTGTTGAAAATAATTGAACTTTGCGACAATTCATCTTTTAATTTGTTTAAACTTCTAAATCAAAAAGAAAACAATTTGCCAGCATTTGTAACGTCAAATATGTGGGAAAAGTTGAAAAATAAATTATCAAGTTTATGGTACAAATAAATAGACTTTCAGATATCATTGTATTTACACATTTTTTTATTGTTATCTATCAATCAGAATTTTGTGAACCCTGTTGGTGCACCTGGCACGCCAAAGGAACTCTAAAAACACACACACAAAAATTGTTGCATGTCAATGAGGAAAAAGAGGTGGAAAAAGTCAATTACACGGAGTGCAACGAAACTGAGGTTAGAAGACCATTAGTATTTTTAACAATACATGAATTCACGTTGTAAATATGTGCATTTGATAAAGACGTTTTAAACGAAAAATACTATAATTAGATACAAGCGCACTTCTGTGTTTTTTAATTTTAAAATGATTGAATACATGTTGCGCATGCGCACAGGCTATACGTAAGCTATTCAAATACCAATCTCGTTCCCAGACCCTGCGTTTCTTCTGGCCTGCGGCGAAGAACGAGGGCTCTGGCATAATCCATATTTTGAGACCAGGATTTCTTGGACTTCCGGCATAACAGCGCACGCGTTCAAAGACTTGCCAAAAATCAAAAATATTTCCCCCCCGATCTTTTATACTAGGATTTTTACTTTGATTTTTTTTAAAAAATTTAATATTTACTTTGATTTTTTTGAATGGTTATATATAACTTTTCGAAAATTGCGCATGCTCCAAAATATGGATTATGCCAGAGCCCTTGTTCTTCGCTGCAGGCTAGAAGAAACGCAGGCTTYGGGTAYGAGATCATTCAAATACACATTTTTCTAAAATCGGCGATCTGATAAGTGTATAGAAGTTATTCTATAAAATTCACTATGAATATTTGTTATTTTTACCATTTTCAGAATCCTTCAAGAATCTCCAGTTTTCCAAACAATCTTTAAAAAACCAGCTTGGGATACATAGTGAATCCTCAGGGAAAAAGAGCACAATACTACATGCAGATAATGCCAGAGGCACATGAAAAAATGAAAAAGAAAGTAGAGAGTGACCAGGAATTTAGGAAGAGATTCACATCAGAACGTTCGCGACAGTTTGACCTTCTGAAAAAGGAAGAGAAACTTTTCCAGAAGGTTGACAGCTGCTCAAACAGGTACAGCAAGATTTTGCAACCGAATTACACTGTGAAACCAGGTGACGGAAGACAAATAAACCACGCCATTGATGAACATTCTATCATTATAAACAAGCTCAATGACACACTYGACGAAATTAAAAAACATGACAACACATTGTTCAGCACAAATGGGAGAAACCTAAAGGAAGGGAGCACATTCCAACATGAATTTAATGCAAAACGAAAAGCGGGCATTGAAAAAGTAATTGCTAATGTGACTGAACACAAAGAAGCATTACAGCGGCTGCTGGACGACTGCAAACGGATTTTTAAAGGCTCTGCACAGAAGTTTACCTCAGAGAAGAGAAAGAAGAAAGAAAATAAGAGGAAAACAAAAAAKAGAAGACAGCAGCGATATGATGCCAATATTAAGCGAGTATACAGTATTTGTATATCAAATCCAATAGATTCTGAACTCCCCAACTTCTTTTCTTACCCTCCATCCATCAAGGTCCCCGAACTATTCATTGCTGTCGAAAACATTGCTTCGGTGAAAGGCGGCATAGAAGMAAAGTGTGTCGCTCAAATAGTTGCAAATCACCTCACAAATGCAGCTGCTAGTAGACTGCTCACAAATTTACGAACAAAGATAGCGGATGAAGTCTTCTCTCACCTTTATCCTGAAGAGCAGGACACCAATTCAAATACTGATGCCCATATTGAAGTTGGTTTACATGACAGTGAGGACAATGTCAATGATGATACTGATGAAAATGAATACAGCGATGGTGACGTTGGTGCTGGCACTTATGAAGATGGCGAGAGTGAGGAGGAAGACTTTTAATGGACTGCTGATATAGCTTTATCACTTTCGTTATTAATATATATTATAGATATTTATTTTTACACATTTATAGCACATTGTTCCTGTTTTAATTTCTATATCGACTGTAATAAAGATTTATTAAGGAAAAGTGTGTTTATAAAAAGCGTAGCCCCCCCTCTCAATGCCTCATGTTGTGCCTGGCCCCCCCTTTTTTGGCAATTTTCCTCGGGTGGCCCCCCCTCAAAACCACCAGCCCCCCCTCCCGATAAAAAATGAACGGTCCCTAAGGCATTAAGGGGGCATTAATCACATATACGGTCAGAGCATGTCGCATGGTATATGTAAGGCATTAATCACATATACGGCCTGGAAAAATACAGGGTATATGTAAGGCATTAATCATATATACGACCTGGGCAAAGACAGGGTATACGTAAGGCATTAATCACATATACGGCCTGGGCAAACACAGGTTATATGTAAGGCATAAATCACATATAC